TGAGGGCTCGGGAGATGGCTGGCTGCGGCCATGCGCGGTCTGGGCTGGGGAGGGCTCTGCTCTTGCGGCCTGTCAGAAGCTCTGTGCAGATTGCATCACCTTTACAATTCCACATCAACATCTCAATCACCAATGCCCTTAAGCATATGAAAAGCTGTAACATGGATCGCACAATTGCGGCAGAGCTATCAATTCTCTCGATTCTTACTCGCCTCTGCGGAGCCGCAGGCAAGCCGAAGAGCCCTCCGCCTGGATTGCCTGCGGCAAAAGCTCAGCGTCACATGCTACAGCTGGCACCAGTGCCTGAGCTGGCCGGACCAAAAAGCCCGCGCCCTGCTCAGAAGACAAACAAACTAAAGGGGCAGCTGACGGTCGTTGTATCACTTGATGCATTGCTGAGACTCAAATGGCCAAGGCCAGGACCGTCAAATGCAGCTGGCCGCGGAATCTTTGGCCCATCCTGCACGAGTGCAACTCACCATACCAGCTGCAGGTTGTTGGGGTGTGCTTCTTTCACATTAGCCGTCGACACAACGAGTCTTGAACCCCGTCTCCCTTGACAGCACAGTCAACATAAACAGAACAATGCTGACAGTCAATGGGCATCAAAGACTATTCGTGGCTTTCCACAACATGGCATACATCACAATTTCACAGAAATATTATTCTGTTGCCTGCAAACCAAAAGCGAGAAACCAAAAGCAAGAGCAACATCTCTCACGCAACATCTCTCACGCAACATCTATCAGTGTCCGTTGCCGGCGCTTTTTGCTCTTTGGCTGCTGCTTGTGCTGCGCTTTCAGCCTGCATGGAGAGAGCATTCTCGCAGCAATGTACACCCCATCAGGCTCTGCTCCGCGAAATGCAGTTCTCTGAAACCGCTAGGCGAGCCTGAAGCATCTGCTTCAACTCGGGATTTTTTGCTTGTTCTCGTTCTAGGTCAACCTCGCTAAGCACAAGGGTTGGCCAAACGAACTCATTTCATTCATGATCCCATGCCTGTCATCCCCTCAAAAGATGTCAAGAGTCAAGAGCCTTTGTTCTTCGCTTGCCGTCTTGGTTTGCTGCGTGCCCGTTTGTCTCTGTCTCTGCTTGTCTGCTTGTTTTCCCGGGCCCCTCGCTGAGTCGCTGAGTTCACTGGGGCATGGGCACGCAACTGGACCGCTTGCCTTAGCCTTGGATCGGCGGTCACCGCCAAAAAACGGCAACCAGCTCTGAGCTGCCAGCAGATCCCCACGCTCTTCGGTGCCCTCGGGCATGAGACCAGCCGCAGCTTCCATCTGAGCCACCTGTGAAGGTCGCCCAGCCAACGTGTGACGAGCATCCATGAGTATCATGGCCTGAGGTGTGCTATGCACCAAATATGACCTATGCATTTCTTGCGGGAAGCGCCTCCTTCTCCTTGTCGCGGAATCGCTCCAACGCCCTGCCGCGCGGCTTCGCAAACTCCGTCAAGTCCCCCTCAATTGACAAACATCCCCCAAGCAAGCAGAGCAGCCGGTTCTGGAGGTGCAGCTCCCTCTGCGCGTTCCATTCCTGCCAATCGAGCAAGGAGATCGAGCTCCCAATCTTCCATTCCGTACGGAACATTTGAAGCCTAGACTGCCAGTGACTGGTAGCTGCTCCATCCTGTGTATCAGCAGTTCGGCAGGGGAACACTGGCGACCCAGCGTCAAAGTAAACACCAGCGACTTTGATGTGTTCCTCTTCAATGTCTCGGTCACGCTAGAACAAATGTCACGAGGCATGCAAATGAGAAAACGCACTGTGTGGGATAGCTTTAGTGGCCCAAGCTTGAATCGAACATGTCTTCTACGACAAATCATTGTTTCACCATCCAACCATCATGGGCTTATCAGTGAGTACTTTGGACGGAAATGCCCTCACTCTTCACAAGATCGGTGCAAAAGTAAACCGGCCTTCTGGATGGTTTCCTCGCTGGGGATGGCGGCGACTGCTGCAGCTTCCTAGAGCCAGACCCATCCATCAGCTTGCCCCCTACATGGTGGTTTGGGGGCTGGGGTTGTATGGGTTGTCCCAGTTGGCGTCCAGCCCTGAACAAAGCCTTGGCTCTAATTCACAGCTGCGCTCACATGCCTGAGTCTCGGGCTCTTTGCCTCTCTGCGCGGGAGCGTGGCTGCATGCCTGCAGGCAAAGCAATGGATCGTCCAGGAAAGAACATCTGAAATGGTTCATGTCCATGGGTCTTCTTTCTTTAATCACTTTAATCAGTGTGCCTTTCATGATCTCTATGCATGGATGTTGTTTATGCACCCTGCCTGGCAAGGCAAGCGTCACATGGCAGCAGGCTCGAGCAATCGCGCTCACGCGCTCTGAGCCAAATCAAACGACGACATTCGCGCCAAAGTACAGCCCATCTAGAATGTTATGGCCATCCCATGCAAACGCTGCGAATGGACAAGTCCGAAGTATAATCAAACAACTTGTGGCAATTCATCATTTTTATCTGAGGATGCTGATCCATGCCCGATGCCCCAGCCTGGCTTCCGATCCCAATGAGGTCACTGACGTCCTCATTCTCGAAGCCCAGTGGTGCTGCTGCCTGAAGCTCAGGCCCAACGGTCTTCAATAGAACGAGCCCACCGAGTCCAGGTCAAACGTCAAGTCTCACCAAAGCAAAGTAGATCACCGAGCCAAGGTCCGGGAAACAGGTACCCTTTTGGGCTCTGTTTTTCGGTGCGCTATTTCAATGAGGGCACCAAACCAAATGCGCTTTGCTTCCTTGGCGTTTTGGTGCAAAGCTTTAGCATGGAAGTCTCACTCGCCCAAGCAATTCATTCCTCTTGAACAACTGTCGCGCACCGTCTGCATCGCTCATTGAGTTTGCTGCCAAAAGCCTGAAGCTCAGCAGCCCCAATTTCAGCATCGAGGAGAAAAAGGTAAGACGTTGCGTGTCTGTTCCGCCTGTCATGCCCAAAACAGAGAAAACACTTCTTGTCTGGAAGTGAGTCCCGCTGCCTTGTTCTCACAGCAACAACAAACTGTTAAACTTAGCTCATGTCCCCTTCAGAAGTGCTTGTCCGACTTCTTCAGGGTGCAAGGTGGCTGAATGAGTTTGGCTTCAGCTGGGCTACTAGGCTCTACGTTCTTGTTGCTGACTGCTGGGCTCTGTGTTTGTCTCTGTGTGAAGTCTTTTTACAAGAACGTTAATATGTCAAACTGCCAACACTCTTCAAACTTGGCGAATGCGTGTGGGCCCTACTCTGTGGTTGAACCTAGGAGTCGTGAAGGGCGATACTTCCGCGTTAGAAAAGCAAATCAATTGCTTCTCATCTCTGACGTCCCATCCAAAGCATCCAAGGTAGCCAACTCATTTGTCCCTTGAAGCTGCGCTTGGTATCAACTGGCTGTCAGCCCACAAGCAAGTACTCAGTGCATGCTCCAGCTGATGTCCCAAACATTGCAAGTGGAGAGAAGAGCAGAGAGACGAGCGGCACCAAGACTCGAAAGAAGAGCTGAGAGAAAGGGCAGAAAGCAGAGAGAGTGGAGCAAAGAATTGGGAAGAAGCTCAGGGAGAAGAGCAGAGAGCGGGGAGAAGTGCTGAGAGAAGAGCGAAGCAATCAATGGGAAAAAGCGCGGCAAAAGCGGCTGGGGGGGGGGGGGGGGGAAGGAGGTGAGCTTTGGAGGTGCTCGTAAAGGAAAAGTCTTCCTCCCATGCCAAATTTCGCAGACCGCAGGCTGCGCGCAAACAATGACATGCCGCATTACTTGCTAAAGCAAAGAGACACTCCAGCTGGCAGCTAGCTTTCGAGATACGGACACCGATGGAATGAGTAGTGTTGGGGTTGGCTTAGGGTTTAGAGTGGGGGCTGTAGGTGGGTTTCGGGTTGGTTAAAGGTTGGCTTAGAGTGGATCCATGGGTGGGGTTATGGTTGCTTGGGGGTGTCTTAGTTTAGGGCCGATTTGGGGCCGGTTTAGATAAACATTGGTTTAGGGTTATGTTTTTGGTGGGTCAGGCTTGCTTAGGGTGTGTTAGTTTAGTTTTTAAGGATGGTTGGCTTGGGGTTGGCTTAGGGCTGATCGACCCCAACTAACCGACCGACTGACCACCAAGCCCTTGACTGGCCGAACCACCGACGGCCGACCAAGCGACTGCCTGGCTTCTGGCGTTAAGCGGGAGCCAGTGTCAAGCAATCCCCACCAGGATTTCTTTGTTGTCACTATATGGACTTTCTTGGGACTTGGTGCCGCCTTGTGCCGCCTTTTAACGGGGAACCAAAAAGTGTCCCTACTTTTGACAAACCTTCATACGAGCAAGCAGAACTGAGGCAATCCGCATCTGCCCCATTCCAGAGCTTTTTCTCACCCAGCACCCATCCAGCCACCCTCCTCAGTCCAGTATTCCGCCACAAACTCCCGCAGCTCGTTGGGGCTTTGGCTCGCGGCATTACAGAACCTGTTCCCAAAGCCACAGCATCGTCAGTCAATGGCTTGTTGACTCTGGTGAGGGCTTCCTTTTATCATCGGTTGGCCCAACAAAACAAATGACCTTTGCCAGTTCCCGGGAGCTGGTCCCCTGGAGGGGCGTGTCAAAACTGGAGGTCTGATTGAAAAGCAGATTTGAAAAGGGTACACATCACATATCCAGAAAAGGACACCAGCCACTGGGTTTTCCAAATTGGACCCTTGCCTCACTCCATGGGAAATGCTGTTCCCGTGCCTCTCTGTGGCCTGTAGCTCCAGCTCCAGCACTGGCCGCTCCCGCTGCAGAAGCTGTGCAGCGAGCCTCCATGTTGCACATGGCTGTGGGTCAAAACCAGTAGGTGAATTCACCACCCATTTTAGAACCTATTTTAGTGGGGATTGGGATGTTCACTGGGGGTACGGGATTTTGACCCATGGCCACATTTCAAAGGCCGCTGAAACTGCAAGGCGCTGAACGCGACGGTAGAAGTCTCGAGCCTCCAGAAAAAGCTGTATGTCTGGCCATGGGCATTGGGCAACAGGGCGATCAAACATGCCAGAAAGAACTGCAGGAACCCCTCCAGCCCAATTCTGAAGCAGCCCAAGCCCGACCCGCACGTCCCCGCGCCTGCAAAGCTCTGGTGGCAAGTCCCGGTCATGCAGCTGCCTTTCTGCGGCAGCGGAGGCATCTAGTGCCTGGCGAATGGCGCTGCAACGCCAAATTTGTACCCCACGAAACAGGAAGGCCTCACTGAGGCCTGAAAAATGGGGTGGGGCTGTGGTTCTCGTTTCAAGCTTGGCTTCGAGTTTTCAGGCTTCTGGTGGGCGTAGCGTGGGATTCAGCTTTAGGGTTGCGGTTCGGGCTGTCAAATGTTTACAGCCGCCGAGAGGTCCCACAAAGGTCTCGCGCGATCATGTCGAAATCCTAAAACCTGCGCCTAAACTGAGCTGGAACTCAAAGCTAAGCCAGAAACTCAAAGCACATCAAACAACACACGTTGGGTGCGCAAGTCAAGTGATACATCCCCCCCCCCGCCTCGGCACGCTCACGCACACGCACATAACAAAAAAACACCGGTTGAACTGCACAATTGAACAAGTGACCACAGTCAACCTCCTGAGTGCCCAACTTACTCCTCGAGAGAACAATGCCGCGCCTGGCGCAGCCAGCTGCCCACCAGGCGGCGCGCTGCCAGCTCGAGGGGCAGGCCAAAGTCCTGCGGCGACACCGAGAGATCGCGGAAGGAACAAAGCGATCGCGCGACTCACGTGCGGGAAAAAGCAAAGTCTCCCTGGTGTTGGGTAAATGTTGGGGGAAACCCCTCTCCAAGAAAATAATCAACGTGTCATGGGCCGTGTCGCCCTCCTTCAACTGCAAAGAAATGCAGGCTGAGGGACGGCAGGTTTCTCATAGTGCCGCTCGTTGTCAGGCGCATTCGGAGTTTTGTTGCAGTGCAATGCACAAGTTCGGGTGATATGTACCGGACATATGTGTGTGTGTGACATCAGCAAATCGCTAAAAAGTAGTCCATCATGTATCTTTCGCTCGACAAAGGCCCTGCTGTCAAATCTGGAAAGGACTCTCAGTTCTTCGCCAAAGCCGTGCCTTCTGACCGCAAACTGATCGCTGACGCACCCAAGTCACGCGTCCTGTGGAGGACCACCGTTGGCGAAAACATTGGCGAGCTGCTGCACTTGGCTGGCACTGTTGCCTCTGGGGCGGCGCAGGCAAATCATGCAGTGCTTGATCCATGCCACCAACCTTCCCGGACACATGAGCATGTCGTAGTGCATGAGATTGCCAATCGACGGGATCAGCATCAAGATACTGGCAATTGAAATAAGGCACAGAATGGTCGCGAGTTGCTTGCCGAGATGCTGGCCAACAGCCGAGCCAACGGCATCAGGTCGCCGCCCACTTGAGCATCGTTGGGCAGCTCAAAGGTGAGCTTTGAGCCATCCTCGTCGATTGAGTCTGCCTTGCCAATGAATGGGCTACAAAATTGTTTCGACCCGAGAAGGGAAGCTCTATGACTTTTTGGCGGACTCGACCCAAACCAGCACCGGTATGTCCTGACTCTTCCACTTCCAACACATGCCAAATAAACCGGATGTTAAAGGAACAATGCTAATGTGCAAAGTAGCAGATAAACTCGGCAGGTGGTCACATGCTACAATGCTTCCACCCCCAAATCTGCTCAGGCTGAATCGATGTGATCTTGCAGAAATGCCAGAACCTTCTGTTTGCGCTGGCCTCCTTTGGATATCTCCTTGAGAATAAGTTCAGCCTTGCGGAGCAGCAGGATCCAACATATGTGTTGTGATGGCATGTTCACTGCTCGCCTGTCCGGTGCAGAACATGCCCAACCACTGTTGGACCGCTCAGCATACAATTGACGATTCCAAAACCAGCTGTCTGTGAATGAGCAAGAAAGACGGTGCAGGCAGCCTAGGAATCTGCGCGGCTCCCTGGTGCATGATTGCAAATAAGGGCCTAACTAGGACTGTGTCCAAACAATATCGAAGTATGCTTGCATGCATGAAGCAGCATGAAGCAGCCCAGCCACCTACCTGGAATGCATGAATGGCTGACGTGCACTTCTCAGCAACATGGTCCTCAACACGTAAGGCACTTTTTACATATCTATGCAGGCCACATCTCTATAGGGAGCATGAACGAATATAGGCTGCTGTGTGTGTGCGCGTTCAGATTTGGAGCATGAACGAATACCTATTGGTAAGCGTGTATGTTACTTCACATTTGTTCAAGCCAAAGTCTATCTTTATTTGGAGCCTGCTCCAAGCTGGTAAGGACGCCGGCTTCCGACCAGGGCTTTGCTTCAACCGCATGCGAATCTCAAAGCTTGGCTTCGCCTCATTGGGTCAAAGCATATCAACTTGAGCCCTGATCCAGAACCTCCAAGCCCCCAACCGTTTCATTTTTCACGCGTGCCTCGAGCGTGCGCAGGGCTTGGCGCTGCGCAGCGGCCAACTCGTCGAGGTCCACCTCCAGGCCAGCGGCCTCGAAGAGGTTCTCGCCCTCGCCGTCCTCGTGCTCTGGGTGTCTCATGGGACCATCGGTGGCTTCCTTTTGGCTTCCCGTCAAAACCCATCCAAGGGCTCCCCTTTTTGGAGAAAACCCCATTTAGGGCGTTGGGTTCCAAACACGGTCATCGCAAATGGCTTACTTTGCAAGCATCCAGTGGATCAAAACAAACTCAGAATCCGTCGCTGTTGTCAATCTGGACATTGAAGAGATGAACAAATGTCCTTGCCATGAAGTCAAATTGGGGGCCCTTCGGGCAATCCTGGCATATGTGGCAAGCAGAAATGTATGTGGGCGCGTAGTGCTCAAGCAGCTTCTGCCGTCCTCCAAATAGCCGTAGAGCATCCACAGCATGGCACTAGAGTTGGTGTTGTACCTGAGTCAAAGGGCGGCAGAAAGGCAACATGTGCGTGCGTATGTGTTACCCTATAGTAGAGGACCCAGGCAAATGGCTCCCTTTCAAAGACGATCAAAGGGCACCCCAAATTCAGGAGGCATCCACATCATGCCCTACTTTGCGGTGGCACTCTGACACTGGTCATTTGCGCGTCAACTTTTGTAGAAAGAGCCAATCGCTTGACAGTTCATGCTGGACAAACAGAACTTCCTGGCTGGCACATCTTGTGAAGGCGGCTTCCCACACGGCTGCCAGATTGTCTGCCACAATCGAAATTCCACAAACCCTTTAAGTCTTGCCGAACTGCAAGTGGAACACCTCATCTCCAGCATTGACTGGTCTCTCTGCCACGAGTGTGGCTCCCTCCTTCACTGGCCCGTCAGGCTCAAACGAGCATTGCCAGAGCTGCCCGTCATCCATATCAGGGCTACGCAGGGTTCTATTATTGAATAGGTCCAGCAAAGGCACCAACGCCAGCTGCTCGCTTGGCCTGGCAATTGCAAACGCTGAAGCCACAGGGTAATTCGCAAGCTAACATAGCTAACATGACGCCTTTTCCGCTAAATCTGGCGCATTCGGTTAGATCTGAAGTTTGAAAAGATGGCGCCTGTCTGGTTGAAAAGTGAAGGCCCTTGAGTCCACCATGGCCAGCGCCCAGCGGCTCTCCTCCTCCGAGAAGTCTTCCCCCCGCAGCAGCGCCAGGTTCGACACGTGGGCGCGGCGCACCTCCCGTGCCACGCGCAGGCCGTGCACGCTGCCCGCCAGGAGCTCCTCGAGCTCCGCCTCCGCCAAGTCCCAGAAGCTGGCGCTCAGCGGGTGGGCGCTGGGCAGCGCGGGCAGCAGCTGGACGTAGGCGGAAAAGGCCGAGGCCTCTTCCAGTCGCAGCTCCTGCAGCAGCCGCTCCGCCAGGAGCGCCTCCTGCGTCCACTCACTCCTCTCACTGCTGGCGCCCTCTGCCCGTGCTGTGAGGATGGCGTCGGCGGGCACCTTGCAGACCTCCTGGCCCGGACTCAGGTCGCAGCTCGCGAAGACGGCGAGGCCGGCGCCGGGCTCGCGGCTGGGCGCCACGTGGATGCTGTCCAGGCCCTCAGCCCCAAGGCCCCGCAGCCACTGGAAGAGCGCCGCGCTGCTCCCCGCGGCACGGCCCCGGCATCGTAGGCACCGCAGACACAGCAAGGAGCAGCACACGGCACCACGATGCCCATATTTTCTCTCACGGAAACGGCGCGGGCTTTTCTCAATAGCCCATGGCCCACATCCAGTTGCAAGTCCCAGGCCTACTCCTGGCAGGCTTCGGTGCCCCAGCCACATGGCCGCAGGCTGACGCGTGGCAATATAAAGTGACAGCGAATCAAAGAGCGGGCGCCTCACAACTCATCTCATCAGTCAGGTTGCACTCTTGGTCGTTTCGTTCACTCTCCCCACTGAGCAAAGAACTGCCACCAAACTATGGAGAACAAACCTTGCACGGGACATCTTCGGCTGAGTTTGGTAACAGCACTGGCGGGCAAACGTTTTGCCGCTCGCTTCTTCTGTGCTCCTGCTGGCCAAGCCCGAACGTGCGGGAGATCTCAGTCTGACCGAGGATGTTGCCTGAGTATTGGGCTCACCAGGATGCAAGACACAATGCACAGGACCAAACAAACCTCAAGCATAGCAGCCCTCACATTCGCCGAGCTACATGCTGCATATTCAGTGATTGACGGCACTCAGAATTGTGTGCAACATCAAGCTACATTGCGTGGCAAGCGGCTTGCTGGAAACGCCACTGGCATCGGGCCACCGTCCACTTGAGCACCGTGTGTCAACTCGAGGGTGGGCAGTTCCTTGCACGTTGTATGTCGGGCTCAATCTCCACCCCAAGCATGCAAGTGCTGCTCAATCAATTCAAGCCGCAAAGAAATGCGCTGGCCACTTCTTGTCAGCCCCTTTTTCAAGTTTGCTGCTAAACCTCAAATCCCGTCCTCCAAGGATATGGGATATGTTCGATCGTCGAAAGCAGGATTGGTTTACTGCTCCCCGCCTGCAACTGGTTCAGCCCAGGACATCGCCAAGCAGGATTCCAAGATCCTGCCAGCCGATCCCGGCAAGGACCATGTCTCAAATCAGGCGAGACGCTTCAAGGAGGGTCTCAAGGTTCGCTTCGTACTTCCTGTCTCATGTGAAAACCCAAAAGCAAGCAGGCGCCTTGTCAGTCATGGTGCCTGGATTTGCTGGCCTTGACAAGGTCAAGTGCAAGTGGCCTTGCTCAAACATGCAGGACATGTGCATTTCCGAACTCAAAGAGTTTAAATTATAAGCTGCCGACTTCTCCGACGCATATCCACTGCTTGCCTGCGTCACACATGGTCTGCCGACGTCCACTGACAATGGCTAGACTCGTCCGTAGACTAGCGTCAAACCAAAACAACGCTCGAGCTCTTCACTGGACTTAAACGCGTAGACTCCCAGGCTTCCAAAACTTCAGACTAGTTAGTGAGTAAAGCTGTTCACGAATCGTCCAGCCTGAGCGTCTGTTGACCCTGGCGCAGCCACGCCTCGCCAATCATGCACGCTCTGACTGAGCCAAGTGCCTCTCCCAGCCAACAAGTATTTGACAACCAATGGTGTTCAACGGCGGTACAGAATGTATGCTGGCATTTAGCAAGCAACGAATTAACTGGCACAAACATGAAAGCCAGGAAACGATGACATGCCGAAACGCTCAAACATGTCGGAGAAAAAAACAACTCAACCACCATGAAACACCTCAAAACTCAAAACTAGGACAAAGACAGAAATCCCAAACAACCCGAATCCTGAAAGCTCAAAGACTTGAACAGCTTCACATCCAACTGCAAACATGCGGAAAACTTGGAGCCCGCTCAAGAAACCAAATACCAAGGACTGCAAGCATCTGTCATGTTAAAGTCTTATTGTTCCCAAACATCCTGAGAGGATCTTACAATCAATGGAAGCCCAAAAAACTCGAACGCTTCAAACTGTACAGTAAAGCAACAAGACAAGAAGCAATACCTTGATGAAGGCGTGCCGTTTTTCGATTGTCTTGTTTCCTTTGTCACCCGCTTTTTTCCTGGTTCCCTTTGAAACTGTGTCTCGTTCTTTGCCCTATGATCGCCGATTGCTTGATGTCTGGCATTCCTCTCGTTTGTTGCTCAATGGCTTCTGGAACCACGCCACAAGCACTGGTTTTGCGTAGCAAACCACCCCAGCCCGCCTTGAGGATCAGCTATCCCTGCAGCATCCAGTCGATGAGAGCACCTGGGCCATCGTGCCTTGTGACTGGTCCAAGATGGCCATCATCCAAATGCGACTCAAGGGACATGAGGTGATTCAAGTGACTCAATGGTGAGACTCGAGGCGACTCAATGTCAGCCGAGTTGACTTGCGATGGATGTGCGAATCTCTGAGGCCCATCATTGAATCGAAGGACAGCTGGTCGGGCAAAGAGGTCCAATCCACCTGGCGCTAATTCGTGTTGCCAATCGCAAAGCCTCTCGGATCACACGAGGCAGCTGCACCGGCTTGGAGAAGTCTGTGGGCACAGCCGGCTCCTCACACAACAAACATGCCGTCCAGCAATCTATGCGAAGGCAGCTGGCACACCTCCAGGCTGAGCAAGTCTGGCGCTGGCTGCGGCCTGGCGTCATCTGTCATCCAATCTCCAACCCCTCCGCGACCAGAAGTGCCCCGTGACATCTCATAGCGCCACTCAAGCATGCGCGGTGTTGACAAAACCGATACCAAGCCGACTCCCTGCCTGTAATCGCTCGCCTCCAAGCTTAGGAGGTCCTGAGGGCTCAACGCAGCTGGCAGCCCTAAGGCCAGTGGCACTGCAATTAGACGAACCTCTCGAAGCTGAACAAGTTGACTTGGGTAGGCATACTAAAATTGGGCAGTCAGCCCTCATGGCTCGAATCAACTGTTAAATCCCCAGTGGTTTCTTTCCACATGTACTACCATGTATTTCACATTTTCATGCGCATATGTATACATATATATATATACACACGTGTGTATTTACGGCAGCCCCCCCCCCCCCCCAAACAAACAAAAAGACACGCAAAAAACTACAAATGTACATGTGTTTCTCCTGAAACGAGCGCCGAATGGTGCGTACAGCCATGGTCCCTGCATCCATCCACCCATTCACTCACCCATCTATCTTTCCATCCATCCGTCCATCTTTCCGTCCATCCACCCATATGCGCATTTGTTTGTGCCGGTACTTTGATTATACGACAAAGGCAAAACACATATATATATATATATAATACATATATCTACAAACGTGCAGTCAATACTCTGTGCCCATGTTGACCAGCCGCTTCAAAAAAGGCCTTAGATTCGAAACCGCTCAGCTTCGAACATGACATCGCGCGTCTTCAAATGAAAAGCACGGGAAGCCACGGGACATTTGGAAGTCACAGGAAACTATTGAAAATCATTCGGACAAAATAGATTAGGAACCCCGTCTATCTGTGCATCTGTCTACCTATCAACCTATTCGTCTATCTATCTCTTCATTTATCTATCTGTCCATCTACCTGGCTGCCTAGAAATCTATCTCTCCCGCGCTATCTATATATCTATCTATCTATCTGTCTATCGGCCTTTCGAAGATGTTGCGCCACCACGAAATCTGTCTATCGGCCTGTCTTTGCCTTGCGAAAGCGCTGCGCCTGCCACGCAATTGACACCTCGCAAAACCTTCTCGCTGCCGCGCCAATGGGCCGTGCGCCCCACCCGCGCCGAGCCCGTGCCACACAAGGCATTGAGACAGAGGTGGCTGACATCGACGCAAACCCCCGGAAAAACGCGCAGAGGGTCACTCTTGTTTGCACTTGTTTGCGCTTTCTATTCCCCAGCCAGGCATGTTCTCCTCGTCTTATCTGTGCGCAGAAGTTCCTTCTGAACTTCCTTTGACCAAACATTTGCGCGTGATTGCCTTGTAAAGGAGGGAAGCCCCAAAATGGATTTGCTTCCTTCCTTCCATTCAAAACTTGGGTGCCCTTACCCTCACTTCCTCCAAAAAAGGGGAACCCAGGTGCCAAACGGACAGGTTTTACAACTCCTATAGAAAACATCAACCAACAAATAAGCAAGCAAATACATCAAACAAATGAATACACGTGTATATATATATATGTATATATATATATATGTATATATATATGTATTCATGCATGTGTGCGTGTTTGTGTGTGTGTGATCGCTCCTGCCGCGGATTTGTGGCCCTTAGAACTCCTAGCGTTCGAGCCCCTGCCTGCGGCTTCGCTTTCGGCTTCGGGCTGGGACCTGAGACGTGGATGGAGAAAATGTTGTTACCACTTTGAATCCTTGGTTCAAACCGTTGTAAACAGGGTTCCACTTTTTTGGCTACCCAGAGATAGACTTAGACCCAGAGGTTCTCCTTCTGGGAGCATGAATGAGAAGCTGATCGTACTGAATGTATCATATCCGCTGTGGCGTCCAATGAGCACAAGGAATTCGAGATTCCCTTTTTCGGCCTTCGTTACGGATTATGCCTCGGCTACCAGACGTTGTTCCCCATTTTCAAATATGTCACTTGGGCTCTCAACGTACTCTTTAAAGGCTTCAAGCCTAGCACAGGCTTCCTTGGCAAAGCCCTAGGTTTAAGTCTACCCTGGGGTAGTCAAACAGTGGAACCCTGGTTGTAACTGTTGGCACATACAGAAAATGAATCCGAAACCTTAGGTGCAGGAGTTGGTTGGTCCATCCACAGGATTCTGTATCTATGTATGGCTTGCTTGCATAATTACGTGTCCCTTGAGGCTGAAAAACCAGTCAGATTGGCGAGTATCTTTTCTTGACCTCGAGTCACAACTTCTTGTAGCGCTCGCAGGCCAGCTTCCATAAGGCAAAGGCGCGAGACAAAAACAGAGGACCCAAGGCTGGCTTCGCAGTGAGACCAAAGCATTGCAAAGTCATTGCTTCTGAGTTTCAAACTTCCAAAAACTAGACGGGCCTTTACAAGGCCTGCAGCATGTTCGTTGGTGATTCTGTGGCTTGCTTTGTGCGGATGTCCGGTAGCAAGTCCCCAGCACCAAGCCGATAGTAGAACTCGCCCCTGAACCAAAGCGAAAACAAGCAAAGCGGCTATCCCGTTCGGGATGGCAAACTCGCCTTTGACAAGTACAAAGGAACGCTCGGAAGTATTGCAAGGCACCCAGCCCAGCAGCTTCCTTTTGATCAAAGGGAACCTAGATACGAAACCAAGGCCAGCAGTGGCCAGCTCAACTTCTCCGACCAGCTCCAGCTGGTTATGGATGTCATGGCGCAGCTGTAACCGTTCCAACAGTAACCATTCTCGCAAACGCAAACACCGCTGTTGCAATTCGTGTTGTTGATATAGCAAGCGCTTGTACACGTGGCCGTGGTGTCGGTATCACAGCTCACGGATTGTCTCAGCACATCTTGCTTCGTGAGCACCACAAAGAATTGGGGCTTGAAGGACATGGTCTTGTTGAACGTCTCAATCAGATCCGCCTGGGCCTTTGTCACTGGCGGGCAAATGCCAGTGACGGGGTCCGTGTCGATGCCCCCGGTGATGCCGGTAAAGGTCACTTGCAAAGGAAAGGTGTAACTCTTGGGCACAAAGCCTGTGAGGGCCAGGTCGTCGCGGATGAAGTTCTGTGTTGCGGTATACGTGCATCCGGTCGCCGTGTTACAGGCTTTCGCGGATTGGCAATCTGAGTAGCCATACAAGTCATAGCACTTGTTGCACTGCATGAAGTCTCCGCTTCGGGACCCGGGCGCCATCACAATACACCAATCCACCTTCTTGATGTCGCTCACGGTTCGGCGGCGATGCGCGGGGGAATCCCCATACTTTTCGGTGTAGGCATAGTAGGTGCCCGCCGCCAGCGCAGCGGTGCCCACCGCGGCCGCGCCGGCGGCCACGGTTGCCCTGGAGCCAGACGTGGCCGCCGTTCCCGAGTAGCCATAGTTTGTCTGCGTGGGCATGGTGCCTCCGTAGTTGTTCGCAACCGCGGGGCGGTTGGAGTAGCCATATGCCTGCACAGGCTCGCTTCGCCGGCGGCGAAGCGCGGTGTCCGTGCTACGCCGCCGAGGGCTGGTGACGTACGTCTGCCCGTTGATGCTCGTGGCCCGGCGCCGCGTCGCGGTTGGCGTTGGCGCCGGCGGGGGCGGCGTCCGGCGCCGGATGGCACGTCGGCGCCGCGGGGTTGAGCCGCGACGACGGGGAGCGTAAGAGCTGGGCGCGGTGTACGAGCGCCGTCGGCGCGTGGTGCTTTCCCTCACGGGGGACCGCCTGCGGTAGCTGTCGCTGGCGGAATAGCTGCTGTAGGTGCTCGAACGTCGGCGACGTGTCGTGCTGTAGCTCACGAACCGCCGGCGAAGGGCCGTAGTGGTGGTTGGTGCAGAGGCACGTTCCGTGGTTGTGGCTGCTGCTGCGGTTGTTGCGTCTGCTCGTCGGCGACTTTCCGTGGTTGTGGCTGCTGCTGTGGTTGTTGCATCAGTGGTTGTGGCTGCTGCTGTGGTTGTTGCATCTGTGGTTGTGGCTGCTGCTGCGGTTGTTGCAGTCTGCTCGTCGGCGACTTTCCGTGGTTGTGGCTGCTGCTGTGGTTGTTGCATCAGTGGTTGTGGCTGCTGCTGTGGTTGTTGCATCTGTGGTTGTGGCTGCTGCTGCGGTTGTTGCAGCTGCTCGTCGGCGACTTTCCGTGGTTGTGGCTGCTGCTGTGGTTGTTGCAGTTGCGCGTCGGCGACTGCTCACGCTGGTGGTAGTGGCAGGGCTGACTCGTCGGCGACTGCTTTCAGTCGTTGTGGCTGCTGCAGTGGTTGTTGCGGCTGCGCGTCGGCGACTGCTCACGGTGGTGGTAGTGGCAGGACTGACTCGTCGGCGACTGCTTTCAGTCGTTGTGGCTGCTGCAGTGGTTGTTGCAGCTGCGCGTCGGCGACTGCTCGCAGTTGTTGTGCCTGCTGCAGTGGTTGTTGCAGCTGCGCGTCGGCGACTGCTCACGGTGGTGGTAGTGGCAGGGCTGACTCGTCGGCGAGAGCTGTAGCTGCTGTAGCTACTGTAGCGTCGGCGAGGGTAGTAGCTGCTGTAGGCTGAACCAGGTGCTCGGCGTCGACCAGCCAGTTGACGGGGAATTGTACCCTTGTTGCCGTCGAGACGTCTTTGGACCCGTCGCCGGTGACTCGCCGTGGTGCAGGTGTCTGTGGCGGTGTCATAGACGGCGTCCATGTCATCGCAAGTCTCATAGCTCCAGTAGTATTCATTGCCTAGCCAGGACTTCTTGGCGATGGGGCAGGAGGCGTTGACGTAGCACCAGGAGTCACAGCACCACTCGTGGTCTGAAGAGGTGCTCCAGCTGCTGTTTGGGTCCTGGCTCCAGGTGGCCGCGCAGTCCACCATGTCCCAAGCTCCGCAGCTGCTGCCGTAGTTCTCCGAGAAGGAAGAGCCCAGCACCCCTGCAGGAAGCTTGCCCCGACATTCGCAGGCAAGGGAGTCGTACTGGCAACTGGACACGATCTCAGGATCCAACGTGCAGTTCTCCTCGCTCCAGAAGTGGCCCGGCCAGATGGTGGAGGCCCGAGCAGTGGGGCAGGTCTCCGAGACGTAGCACCAGGAGCGGCAGCACCACATGCCGTGGTCTGCGTTGGGGTACATGACCTCGCAAAGGAAGGCGTCGTGGGGGCCGCACTGGGCGCCAAAGCCCACATGAAGGCTCACGTTGATGCCCTTCTCAGACAAATAGCTCTCAGGAAGGCTCTCACCGAGACACTGGCAGGATTCGTTGGTGTTGTTGGGGGTGGGCTTGTATGGACATTGAAGCATCCGAGATGCATCATCCTGGCATGCGTTGTCTGACCAATACAAGACTCCCTCCATGCCGTCATTCAAAGATGCGATGGCATGAGGGCACTCCTTGTCCACATAGCACCAGTCGGCGCAACACCATAAGTCCACTTGGTCAGGAGGATAGTTCAACGCGCAATTTACCATGTCCCACGCCCCACATGAAGAGCCATAATCGGAGGGAAACTTTGAATTCATGGCAGCGTTGAAGAGACTGGCCCTGTTCTTGCAGGTGCAGGGATCGTGCTTCTTCGCCTCTTGTGTCCATGTGCATGGAGTGACGGGGTCGACACTCTCGCAGGCCGCATAGCTAAAGTACTGTCCCGGCATGGCCTGACTCTGGTAGGCGTCCGGGCAGTCGCTGGAGGCATAGCACCAGGGCCGACAGCACCAGGCGCCCAGCGACACTTCGCCCCACAAATCCCCGCAGTTGGCATCGTCCCAGGCTTGGCATGACGATCCATAGCCGGCGCCATAGACGCTCGACACGCTGGCAGGGACTGAAGGGTTTGTGCACCCGCAAGTGCTGGGCACAGTGTTGCTCACCGCCCTCAAAGCCACCATGGTTTCTGGGACAACCTGCTCACCGTTGGCGTCCTCGATCCTGAACTTCACAGTCATCGCTTCCGAGGTCGCGCGGATGAAGCTCACAATGTGGGGCGAAGTCTCATCAATCGAGCTGGTGTACTCGATGCCAACCTTGTAGTCCGGCAGCTCCGGCGCAGTTGGGTCGCTGCTCGTCGGCTTCGGGCACATCACTTGGGAGACATCTACCAAGTGCCAGGTGTTGTCAGCCCAGGCTATCCAGAGGAGCAAGCTCCAGAAATGCCGCATTGCTAGGTCGATCGTGTTGCACACCCTTGAGCCGAGATGCCGTGAGTCAGAGTAGTATGACCCAGTGGCTGGCGAAATGGCTCATGAGATTCTGTACCCATTTGAATGCCAGCTGGGAAGGCTGCCAGGTGGGCTTGTAAGCCTGAGCACGCAGCGAGGAATTGTCGAAGCTCAACCAAGTGCTAAGCACCGAAGGATCCGGCCATGCTTGTTTTTGATGCCTGCCCCTTCGTGAACAAATCATCGCACCAGCAGAGTGGATTATCATGCCGTCCAGCGGCTGTCGTACTTGTGTATCCTGCTGCTCGCGCTGAGACTTTCGCATTGCCTAGGCTTGCTCCATTGAGTGCGCAGAGTATGCACAGCTCGTTTGAAACAACACCGCATCAAAACGCAGCCGTCCCGCCTTCAGTCTCGCGATGCGTTTCAATGTGGTTGGCATTCTCACTCCTTCCTCGGTCTGCGGACCAAAGAGTCTAACTAAAAAAGACGCGTGCAACTGCGGACTCGAAGTGACAGCATAGTTGTATGACCAGCTCCGAAACCTTGCGCCAAAGAGAAACAGTTTATAGCCCGCACCACGCTGAACATCCCCTTGGAACAATGCAGGGACTAGCGAAAAAGAGAGGAGAAACGCCATCACGTGTTCACAGACAGCTCAATCGCTCTGTCATTGGCAGCTTTCATCTTGCGCTCTAAGGTCAAATCCATGACCTGCTTCTGCTTCTCCACCTCCCCCTCCCCGTTGATCAGCCAATCCAGAGCCTCCTGGGCTCGAATTAGCTAAGTCCCAGGCGGTCGAATGGCTGCCTTGACCGCACTGAGATCAAGTTCGGCTCTCGATGCCAACCAAAGACTGGTCAGTCCTGTGTGTTGTTGCGATGCAGTCGCAACGCTCGGCGGGCAGGTCCTTCCTCGAAGCCCTGCACAACATGTCCCACACGAGTCCCCAGCAAACAGAAACAAAGCATCGCGCGATTGTGCTTGCCAAAATCTATCGACTGTAAATCAAATTCGAGTGCACACTTCTGTCTATCCAATTCTACCTGTCCTGAGAGAGGAGCGAGGAAAGCGACAGCGGGTCGACAGGTAGCGCTGGACTAGAGTCTTCCGGGTCCTCTTTGACCTGACTTTGGCTTTAACAACTAACTGACCTAAGCAGATCTTCACAAACTCTCTTCGCGCCTTCTTTTCGATCAAGCGAAGGGAGAAATCTAAAGGCTCGGAGTCTGGGGAGTCCTCTGGCTGCTTGAGCTCCATTTCCACCTGGCCATGGCTATCGAACGGAAGCAATGAAATATCAAGAACCTTTTGAGGTGAAGTTCTTTTGTTTCAGGAGACCTGCCCCCAACCAATGGCGGTGTGTGCTTTGGTTCTCCTTAAAAACCACCAAATAAGGGGTACTCTCAAAAAAGGCACGCCCATTTCTGTTGGCGGCTCTCTGTGCAGACGCGAACCTGGGCTTCCAGATGCTCCGGGGTCATTTCAACCTGCGGCTGAAACCGTCTCCCGAAACTGCCACCGATGGGACTTCAGCTACCCGGCCATGGGACGGAACTCCATTCGTGCGGGAAGCACTGCAGAGATGCTGTGGGCGGCAGACGCGAAGAACTCATACTCCAGGTACCTATGTCCAGCTCTCCAAACGCGTGACTCTTTGTGAAATGTAGCCAAACGTAGTACAGGATGCAAGCATAGGTGCCCTTTCGGTAAATAGATGGCCCTGGTACATGCAAGAACACCAACCTAAACCAGTGCCATTTATTTATGACCAAACTAACCTAACAAGGACACCAATGAATAGCTGCAAGAGATAGCAATCGTAGCCCTGTCCGAAGTCACCACCAGTCCGTAAGAAATAAAAATGCGCATCAATGAGCTCGGGACCCGTCCAAGTTGTTGCCTTCACGAGTACTTCCCTCCATTGGGGAACCGTCATTTCCTTACCAAAATGCGTCCCCCCCAATGCGATGAGTCTATGTTCTTAAGTGGCTGAGCATCCTTGCAGCTTGGATTGAGGACCATCCCTAGCAGCCCGGAGTAACTAAAACGAGCCATGTGTGAAGCTGTTACCAAGGGCGACCCCACGGAAACCGGGGGTGTTTAGCTGCAAGAAGTGCCCGAACTCTGAAGGGAAGCAACTAGGCCACATACCCGGCAACGACATATTGTGGGTGTTTTGCTGAACCAGACGGGTGTTTCTCAAAATGGATGTGGACCTCTTTTGAGAACAAACCAAAAGGAACCCGTCGCCACGTTTATGGGCTTTGGAAACACCAAGATCTTTGGCAGCGCCGCGTTTGGTCAATCTCGCCGGGCTATGCTGCCGCACCAGTCCAGCCAGGCAAGTCAGTCTTGAGGTGCCCGAAAACCTCCAGCCACGACACCATCAGCGGCCGCCGCTGGGGCGATATCATGCGCACGCGGATGCTCTTGAAGAAGTGCTTGCTGTGGGGAAGTTCAAACACATGGCCTTTGACTGACAGTGGCTGATCTGTTATCCGGAGCAGCTCTTGCCATTCGTCGCCACGGCGACGAGCTTCCAGCGCAAAAGACTCGCAGACATGATGCCCCGGTTGGTCTCCATGCTTTAGGCCAACCGCCAGAGGCCGCAGCGTGCACCTCTCCGGGGTCACTGCGATCCAAGGGTTCAGCTCAGCCTCTGTGCCAAATTCATGTGTGTCCAGATCAAACAGCTCATAGCAGGAGGAATAGAAAAGCCCATGCACCTCGCGGAAAGACGACAATTGTACGTCCAGTTTCTCTGTCCGTTCTCGCAGGTAGTGGAAAATCCCAGGTCTGATAAAAGGTGCGCCGTGATGAGCAATGAGACCCTGCGGAGTAATTTGACAAGAAGTTGCACCGAGTCTCTCCAGCCTGGTGCAGCGCTCAAACATGGAGCGCCGCATCTTTGTTTGTAGAGCCGGACTCCACTTTAAGGAAACACCTTCCGGCAACCTCACTTGCCCAAACTTGCCAAAAGGATCAGCAAAGACTGATGATGCTTTGACTGTTTGAAAGCAATAAAAGAACCTGCTATATCACAAAAGACACAAATAAAAGCTCCCATTCAAACATAGTGTTGACCCCGGGATTAAGAAACCTGGCGGACTAATAAGGGGTGTTTCGTCCAAAGTGAAGGACCGGACCCCCTATCAAAAGGGGCATCCCTCCCCCCATTAATCGGTTCCCATTATGAGCAACTCCAGCGGGGCGAGATCTCCTTCATGTGCAGCGTCCAAGGCTTTGCTGGGCCATGTCTCCCATCTGACAGTCTCCAACCACCAGTTCTCCGGCAGATCGCTCCGACAGCGCTGGTACCACTGAATCAGATGAAGCCGGTCAAGCTCAGTCAGGACAGGCACGTGTTTCAGAAACAGGACTGCGTTGGGTACGTTGGCTCCGGCCAGTGAACGCTCCACGCAATCTGCACATCCCAATTGGGATGGAATGCAACGCGCAGCCACCTTTTCGAGGACTGCGGGGCAAGCCCAAGCCTCCAAGATCTGCCCCACGATGCCGTCGCGCAATCGAATATCGTGCGTCTCCACAGAGGCCAAAAGCGGCTGAATCTCCAGGCGGTCCGCCAGCAGCAGCACCTCCACGATCATCTCTGGCGGCAAGGTCTCATCGGCGCCGTACATCCACCGCAGCAGCCATGTCCAGGCCGCGCCCGAGCCGAAGTCCGGCGCCCAAAGCGGCTCCTTGGCGTCTTGGAACTCCGAGCCGAACTTGCCTTGCGTTGGCTGGAGAAAAGCCAATAAACAGCTGAAAGAAAGAAAACAGACGGACCAAATCACCGGTCATCGTTCGGGACCACAACAAAAGAGGAAAGACCCAAAAGAGTGAAAAACTGAAGCAGACAAAAGTTGCTGCACAGCACCGGGCTCGCCGCAGCAAGCACCAGCCGGTGGCAGTGCAAGGTCTCCTTCCCGCTTGGGAGGCGAACTTGAACGTCCGAAAACGTCGGGTTGTTCAACGAGGCCAAAATACCATCACATCTGTTGATACGCAAACCTCCACCATGCAAACCTCCAAACATGGCATTGAAGGATTGAAGCCAAGAGAAGTCTTTGAGCCAGAATGCGATGATACACTCCCAGTGCCTCTTGGCTCCGGGAGTTGTCTATGACATGCGCAGGAAGACCGTCCGAATTGCCCATGAAACTGCTATCTTTGATCCTTCTGGAAAGGGAACTATCAGGACCCTCCTATGAGCCACAACTACTCTTCGACTCATTTCCCAAAGGGGGCCATGGGACGTTGGGAAGCGTTTTCAATCCACCCGGTTTTTGCGGGGGGGTGGGGGACATTTAAAGTCACATCTTCTCCCAACAAACCAAACATGACAAAAAGGCTGGCGTCCGGCGCGCGCTTCCCTATTGGGTTTTTCTTCGATTTGCAGCACGTTGCAGCTCGCTGCCACCCTGCCACTCTTCCTGGCGTGCCCCGTTTCGCCGACTCCCAAGAGTTGCTTCCCGAAAGCATTGCGCAAATTCTTCTTGTAAGATCGCGTGCTTCTGGCGCAGAGCTAGCACAGAGCAACTCGAACAGAGCAACTTGCACAGAGCAACTTGCAAAGAACACTTCAACAGAGCAACTTGTACAAAGCACTTGCATAGAGCACTTGCGCGGAGCACTTGCACAGAGCTGCTTGCGCAGAGCTGCTTGCGCAGAGACAGTGTTGGTTTCTCCTTGTGGCACAGCTTTGCCATCAGCCGTGCGATCTTTTGAGGCGTCTCAAACTCAAGAGGTCACTTCAGAGTCTGCAAGGTGGAGTCCAGAATGTCTCCCCTGGCGACTCAAAACAGGCGGAATGAGGTGTGCATTGCAAGCATCGTGAAGGAAGAACAGAGTACACCCATGTTCACCATTCGGCCCCCGCCTGTACTCTTGGAGGATGTATAGCCACTCGAAGACATGTCGATCAATCTGGCTCATGACGCAAAGTAATTATCCCAAAAGGCAGCAACATGTGCAGCTAGCCTGAATGAATATCCGCTTTGCATTCTCAAAGTTCATTCGTGCCTGCATCCACACATGGGCAAGATGCAACGGCAGCATTCAAGCAACTGGGCAACCAGCCAACCTGGCTATTTCACGCTGCGATACGCAACTGGCGGTGTTAACTCTGGAAAATGACACGCAATTTCCAGGAGAGTCCTCTCATGGCTTGGCCATGAGCTGCCAGCGCTCCCGACCCAAAACACCAATTCAAACAGAGTTGGATCGAAACGGCTGCGCAGCCTGCTCAAATCTAGGGGTGATGGTCAGAAGCGCAGGTGTGAAACGCCGGAGAAGATTTCACGCCAGCATTTCACGGCATAGTGTACAATCAAATGTGTGCCTTGTCCTTGGCTCGGCATCAAGCAGCATGTGTCAGGATGTCAGGATGTCAGCATGTCATGTGTGCACTGAAAAAGGAACCATCACCAATTTTGACCTGTCAACCTGTGTGCTCCAAATTTGTGACCCCTTTGTGGACCATTGAAGAGAGCACTGGCTGAGTCGCGCTTCATCCCCGCACGCAGGACTGCTGCCGACCCCACCGAACTACAGCTTCTAGCCAGGCTGCTCAGTCCGACTGCCAGGCAGTCACATAAGACCGGCCATTGTACGTCGGCCTTCTAGTCGCGGTCGCGGTCGCTGGCTTTGGCGGTGCATACTGTGTGTGAAAGTCGTCCGTCTCGATAGGCTCTGCACCTTGTGCCACCTCAAGCAGAATTTCATAAGTGTCACAAGTCTATCCCAAGAAATTCTAAGAAGCATGCACAATCAAACATTTCTCCAAGTCCCTCACCTGCTTCCGCAGCTGAATGAGCAGCTGATTCATGAGGTTCAGATGCTTTTGGGTTGCCGTCTCCGGGCTGGGCGTCAGCTCTCGAGGAGCGACACCCCCAGCTTTCAATTGCAACGCCGCCAGCTCCTGTGCACGAGATGTGGGCGTGCCTGATTGTGATGGCCACCAGATCGGCTCTGCGCCAATGCAATCTTGCCGCAACCCACATGATGGTCACACTTGTATCTTCCGTTTTGGAATGTCGGTCAATGGAAATTGTGGAAGCAGTACAAATGGAACAGAAACCAATGCTGTTGGCGGTGGGTTTTTGGGGGGAGTCCTGCTCAGGGCATTGGCCTCTCAAATGGAACTGGGAGTTGTTTTCACAAGCGACAGCCCAATTTAGACAAACCCTCGGCACATGACCCTTGTCCTCCACCGAGATTTGCAGCTCTCGGACCATCTCCGCATCAGCCTTCTGACGCAGCAGCTTCAAAACCGTCACCTGCCGCAAAACATCTCTTGGAAAGCCTTTGTGACACCAACCCTTTTGAGAAGCCCTGGGCTTCGACCCAGGGCACGCGTTCAATGCAGCACGAGTCCGGTATTGGGTTTGAAGCGAAGACATTGCGCTCACGAGCAAATTATGCATGCTCACCAGAAAGCTCGCAAGGCCTTCTTTGGTAGCCGGCAGCGTAGCCAGGTGTGATCCACCATCCGTGCCAAGTCAGCACAAGCATCTCGCCAGCCAAGCTTCTCGCATGCTTCCTGCTTTTCGCTTGAAGCAATAAAGCGGACAAACAGTTCGAAAACCAAGGAAAGTGTGCACAAAGGCGGCTGTGAGGTGTGTTACACGCACAGGTGGGAGTGGGAGGCCACGTACAAGGGCCAATTGAATCTTTGAACAGTCTCTCAGTGGCACGAAACAAAACCACGCGCAAGCGTCACGCGTCCTCCGTGGCGATGCCGAGAAGCTGCGCCAGCTTGAGGACTCCCATCGCCAGGTGTGAGAGGGTGTCTTCCTGACACATGGCAGACATCTGCGCTGTACTTGAGTTCATGCTCACTTTGGCACAAGCTTGTGGATGGTTGCCTCATTTTTTGCTACCAGGAATTCCCTCCACTTTTCTTCGGCTAGATTTTGATGTTGACGTTGGTACATCCGTTGCTCTACATTGCATAATCCTTATCAATATCCAAGTTGTAAAGCAGTCGTTGAGCTAGCAATTGCCCACTTGAGTGAAGCGCAGATTCTGCGTGCCCGCTGGACAGTCTACTAGCGTGCCCGTTCAACCTGGGGTCGAGTGTGGCTTGGATTTTTTGGTGCGCGTTGGATTTCTCGACCTTGGGCTCCGTCAGGACCCTACCCTAAACCGTGACCCTAAATGAAGCCCCACCAATCCTATGACTCCAAAACCGAACCCCAAACTTGTTGACCTTTAAATCCAAACCCTACACCGTGTTGACTTCAAACCAAAAACTAAATCCGAAAACGTGTTGACCCCAAACCAAAACCTAAACCCCAAACCTTGTTGACCTAAAACGTGTTGACTCCAAAACACAATCTAAACCCGAAACTCTGTTAACCCCGAACCAATACCGAACCCCCAAACCTTGTTGACCCTTAACGAAAAAAAAAAAAAAAAAAAAAAAAAAAAAAAAAAAAAAAAAAAAAAAAAAAAAAAAAAAAAAAAAAAAAAAACACGAAACCTTGTCGACATTTAACCAAATCTAAGCCCCACACCGAAATCGCGTTGACCCCAAACGAAAACCGAAACCCCAAACCTCTGTGACCCTCAACCAAATCCAAACCCTAAAGCGTGTTGACTCCAGAACCAAAATCTCAACCCGAAACCGGGTTGCCCCCCAATGAAAACCGAAACCCCAAACCTCTGTGAACCTTGCCCAAATCCAAACCCTAAAGCGTGTTGACTCCAAAACCAAAATCTAAACCGCGTTGACCCCCAATCAAAACCAAAACCCCAAACCTCGTTGACACTTAACCAAATCCAAACCCTGGGCCGAACCAAAATCCAAACCCGAAACCGCGTGAACCCCAAATCAAAACCGGAAAAAAAACTCGTTGACCCTACGCCAAAACCGAAACCCTATAATGTGGTGACCGCAAGCTAATACCTAAACTAAACCATGTTGACCCTATACCAAAACCTAACCCTAAAACCAACACCTAAACACTAATGCTGAACCCCGTGCAAGTCTCAGTGGACTGGAAAAGTAAGCCGCGCTGGCTGGCGCCCGCTGCTTTTGCTAGCCGCGCGAGATCCGGAAAGCCACCCCGATTTCGAAGGACTTCAAACCAGTTCTAGGAAAATCGCTGCAAATACCACAACTGTTTGTCAAGCCCAACAGAAATAGTGAAAATCGCTGCCAGTGGAGGGACACGAATGAGTTTTGCATGGAGAACCACAGTCTTTGGCTCATGGATCTTTTTGGGCTTCATCTTCAGCAGGGCGGGATGATTTTGCTTGTTCTTGGTCCAACACACCATCCTCCCACACGCATGTTCATCCCTGCGTTTATGGTTTCCCTTTCGTCTCCTTTCTCGTCATTCTCCAGCGCGAATTTTAATTAGGGACCCTTTGGACACCATTTGGATGGGGACAAATTGAGTCCATCAACCGCTTTTGAGGTGGTTCCAACTCTTAAAATTCACAGCCGCTGGGATGGTCACAATCAGATCTCAAAAAATGTTGGTGTCCTTTCTCCTTTTTTACACCAGCCCAAAAGGGTCGACTCGACTCACAAAACACACACACACACACCCTCGGCTTCCCTTGGTTGGTGGTGACGTGTTCCGGGAGGTTTCCCATTCACCCTCTACCACAAGGCTCAAATCCGAAACCACCAATTAGGGGCTACCTGACACCGCCTTTTTTGGTGCTTGCAAAAAAAGGGAAACCACCATTTTGGGTGACTTTTTTGAGGGCACCCTCATTTCTGTGGTTTTAAAGGGAAGCCAAAGAGAAAAACACAACATTTTGTTGTTTGTTTGTTTGTTTGTTTGCTTGCTTGCTTGCTTGCTTGCTTGCTTGCTTGCTTGCTTGCTTGCTGGCTTGCTTGCTTGCTTGCTTGCTTGCTTGCTTGCTTGCTTGCTTGCTTGCTTGCTTGCTTGCTTGCTTGCTTGCTTGCTTGCTTGCTTGCTTGCTTGCTTGCTTGCTTGCTTTTGCTTTTGTTTTTTTTTTTTTTTGTTTGTTTGTTTGTTTGTTTGTTTGTTTGCCTTTTTTTTGGGAGGGTACCCTTAAGAAAATGGAGACACCCATGTCTATTTCTATTTCCATATATATATATATGGATATGTGGCCCCCTGTATATATCTGGGGTGGGGGGGATCCCTAGGCCCAGAGTTGCTGTCCTTGTCGGATGGTTTGATTTGCCGCTCCACGCGCTGCAGGCGCTGCTGCCACTCGGCCAGGCGCGCCTGCCACTCCCGGCCGCTGCGCTCCACGCAGCTGAGCTGCTCGCTCTGCTGGGCGAAGGACTCCTCAAACGAAGCGGGAAAGCACACAAATGGACACAGAAAAAATATGCATGTATGTATATACGTGTATATATACGTATATATATATATATACGCATATATGCATATATGATCCAGTCCCCCAGACCAGATCCCCGCTAGGGTCCCCAGGCCCCTCCTCGCAGTCCGACAAGTAGAACAACACAACCCACAACCCACCGATATACCCCAACTCCTGCCCCCTAACCCTAAACCAACGCGAAACCAACCCCCAAGCCAACCCTAAACCAACCCCGAACATACATATATATATATATATGTATATATGTGTACATATATAAATCTACTTATATTTATTTATCTACATATATATATATATATATAATTTCCCCCCCCCCCCCGCCTGGTGCCCCCGTTTTGCTGAATTTGAGCGCAGACTGTATAGATCTGATGATTTTGAAGTAGCCGCGCCGTCTTGTTCTTTTTCAGACAGGCTGTAGTGGTGAAATTGTTTTCGCAGCAGACTTGAGTAGAGACACGCAGGCTTGCGGTCGATCAACTCCAAGAAGAAAAAAGCATTCCAAGCAAACATGTATCAACATGTAGACACATGCTAGAGGCCTCAGGAATTTATAGAAACTGGGCCCACACAAGGCAAGTTTCGTACCCCTTGGATAAAAAAAAGTGATAGAAGGCCATCTATTCTATTGTCGGCAGAATTAGCCGCTTCTTTTTGCACAACACAAGCTGTCTTTCCGTGCAATTTCTTTG